CCTAATCTTTGGTAGTGGCTAACACTGTTGCTGCTTAATTATTGCGTCACAGTTCTTCCATTAAATGTCACTGTATTTATTATTGATGCATATTCCTTTCTATTTATTTATTCTCCCACTTCTACAACGCTGCTCAGGAAACCAAACTAAGAAAGATTCTTCTGGTTTTAATGTGTTGTTTCCTCTGCTGCAGCCCTGGGGCCTGTCTGCGTGCTGTCTTGTGAATAACTGAATAACATTGATTGAATGATTCAAAGAATGACATAGGTAAACCTCAGGGCAGGGTAGACTTTGAAACCGTGTGATCATAGGATAATTCACATTGGAAGGAACGTCAGGAAGTCATCTAGGCCAGATTTTAATTTGCAAGACCTCAGGATTCCTCGAGATTCTTTGAGTATGAGAAATGAGTCCAGGAAAAAATATATAGCGTGTGTTTATTCTTTTTAGTTTGTTTTGCAACTGGAATGTGCTATGGAGTTAGTATGTCTCAGAGGGAATAGTTTCTCTTGAGTCTTGCTGAGCAAATGGAATTCTACTCTGGCTTATTAACAGAGAAGTCAAAATGAGTGGCAATAATCCAAATATCTGCTGTAGGCCTGTATCAGAACATTGTCCATATTAACACCGTTGGTGTGTAAAATGTTTGAGTTTTAATTGTGGATTAAGAAAGTAAACTTGTTTTAAAGATGAGTGAAGTCATCCAGCTAAGCCAGTCGGAAGTTTGAATAGCCCCCCGAATTAAACAAGTTTGAAAAATGATTCGTAAAAGATTTTTTTCAATCTTCTTCATAAGCTTTTGCACTTTTATCTTCTGTGCAAGTGAAGTTGCAAATATCTCTCAAACTATTCCTACAGCATTCTCTGACTGAACAGAAGCAATGAAATGTCTACAAAATACCAATAGCGTCACTTTATCCTGGCAGCTGTGCAGCGTTGGTTATCTCCTGTGCGAGATAATGAAAGCCAAAGCAGTTCAAAAGAGCAGAAGGCGTTCCTGTGATTTGTTCTTGGGGCTGGAGTGTGAGATCAAATAGATGTACGTGTTTTTTAAGAAATTTCTCTAATTTGGACTTCTGGATCCTTTCAGACTGGCACGTCACTCATTGAAAAAATCAGAATCAGTCTTTGCTCAGATTACATCCTCAGGTGACAATGCCACAAAAAAGTTGTTAGGAGAAAGGTTTTTATTTCTTTGGATTTGTTTGTTATACATGCCCCCTTACCTTACTTTGGTGAACTTGTACCGGCTTGATTTGTATGAGCTTTAACTCTAGCAGCTTGTACCCATTGCATACTGAGCGGAAGCTGCTCTCAAGGATAGCACTGAGCAATGCGTGGCTTCCTGGAAGGCAGTTAGGGTCTCCATAAAGCATGATGCTGAATTCTGTACTTGTCCACAGTATCAGTCTAGTTCACAGAATGGCTCCCAAATGCTTACGCTTCCTGAAACTGAATTGTTACTTCGTTTTAAGTTAGCAGACCTTTTTCTTCTTCTTCTTCTTCTTCTTAAACTATAATGAGCTAATTACAAGGTTATTACAGTATTGGTAGTCTGCATTCTTCTAGCTAGGTGATATTAGTGCTTGACTGAGCATCAGTGTTATCGCTGGGAGATGATGCAACCAAGGCGTGGAGTCAAAACGGTTGGCCTGGAGTCACCAAGGAACTCAAGTCTGCAGGCTTTCAACCCAGTGCTCCCTTTGCTAAACCATAGAACTTGTTATTACTTGCTAACTACTTTTGTCAGATACTAGCCGCTTGGTGTGAAATTTTCCATCCTGAGTATCTGCCTGAAGCAGCAGGTATCTACTGTTTCTGAGAGCAAGATTGAAAAAATACATACTGCTTTTCCTACGTGGGTTTTAAGAGAAAAAACAATTCTTAGCATTTTAAGAGGTTCTGCTCGGGGCTGGGGAGGAACCATTAAAATCCAGGAAGTAATCTTCCCTGAGTTGTGGTTGCATTTTTATTCTCGTGCCCCCACCTAAACATACTCAAGCTGTATTTTTTCTCCCAAAATACTCAAATGTTGCAAGTTTCAAACAAAGTTCATGCAAAGTTTGACAGCTAAATTCTCTGTAGTTTTCTCCTGCTGTAGGTTTGCCCTCTTTCAGACCTATAAGAATGAGGAAGGGACTTTCCCTGCGACTTCAGGAGGCGGAGGCAATAGGCACTAGCAAAAGCGAGGAGACTCTGTGTGGTTAATAGTGGTCTTCCTTTTGGTGCCAAGGATGAGTCTTCTGCAGCGGTACAAGAACCAGACGTGGGGAAAGAAGATAGAGGAAGTAGGCTGGAATAAGAAGCTGGGAAGGGAATCTGGGAAGCAACCATGGGGAAATACTGGCCAATGAGAAGGGAGAAAAAGACTGGTTAAACGAGTGTGCAAGCAGGCAGACGAGGCCTGAAGAGCAAAGAAGCTGGGAGTGGAAGAATGAAATCAGAAGGCAGGTGATTCGGGTTTGATGGACTGTGTAGTATTGGCCACCAGCTTTCGAGGTGAGTCTAGGAGCCAGGGGATGACAGCAGTAGTATTACAGCTGACGTGGAAAAATGGGAAGAGGGATCCAGTGCATATGGTGAAGAAACTGGGATAAACTGGGGAATATGTAGTGAGCATGAAGAGAGAAGACCATGCTCTGTTTAAAACAGGAGAAAGAATCAGTTCTGATGCCTAATTGCTGCCAAGTGTCTTAAAAACATAAACCTGGCATAAAACTCCTAATTCTAATGGAGTCTAAAAACTGCAGACTCAATAGAGGTAGGTTTTATGCCCCGTTATTTTTCCTCAGTAACCATCTCCTCCTGACTCTTTAGTTACGCTGGCAGGAATTGTTCCCCTTCCTCGTTCCCTTCTGGGTTTCAGAATTCTCTTAACTTTCCCTTTGCTAATAGCGCACTCTGCTCTGCAGGTACCAGCAGTTCTTGTCTTTCAGACTGTCTTTTCTTAATGCAGTTCAGGTGAATTCAGAACAGGTGTCCGTAAGCTGTACCTTCTGTTACAACAGCTGAAAAGAATTTGTATGCCTTAAGTTGGTCCCTTTTTCTTTTTTTCCCCTTAACTGTGTTAAATTGCTTATGTAAAGTTGTCACTGAGCCTTCGAAACCCGGCTTTGGAGAAAATACTTGTTTTTCTGAGTGCTTACAATGTTGTTTGCAGTTTTGTTTTTGCATAATGCTGACAGTGTGAGATTTTTTTTCTCTTCTGTTGTTTTGTGAGACGGAGTGTGAGGGGTTGGTTTGATTTCCCCC